GCTCGGTAGGTAGGTAGGTAGGTAGCTAGGTAGGCAGGTAGGTAGGTCGGTAGGTGGTAGGTAGGTCGGTAGGTAGGTAGGTAGGTAGGTAGGTAGGCAGGTAGGCAGGTAGGCAGGTAGGCAAGGTAGGTAGGTAGGTAGGTAGGTAGGTAGGTAGGGGTAGGTAGGTAGGTAGGTAGGTAGGTAGGTAGGTAGGTAGGTAGCTAGGTAGGTAGGTAGCTAGGTAGGTAGGTAGGTAGGTAGGGAGGGTGGGGTAGGGTAGGGTAGGGTAGGGTAGGGGGGAGGTAGGTAGGTGGGTAGGTAGGTAGGCAGGCAGGTAGGTAGGTAGGTAGGTTAGTAGTTAGGCAGGTAGACAAGTAGATAAGTAGATAAGTAGGTAGATAGATAGGTAGGTATATAGGTAGATAGATAGATAGATAGATCGGTAGGTAGATAGGTAGATAGATAGATAGATCGATAGGTAGATAGGTAGATAGGTAGATAGGTAGATAGATAGATAGGTAGCTAGATATGTAGATAGATAGATAGATAGATGGATAAATAGATAGATAGGTAGATGAACAGCTAGATAGACAGATAGACAGATAGACAGATGGATAGACAGATAGGTAGGTAAATAGGTAGATAGATAGGTAGATAGATAGAAAACAAACAAACCGATCGATCGACTGATACTCAGGTTTGATTAAACTAGGTTAGATACGGGTAGATTGGATTCGAAAATATTAGATTCTTAGGCTAGAGTAGGTTATATCGGAAAGACAGATAGATAGATAAGTAGATTAACAGATTGGCAGACAGACAGATGGGTAGATGGACAGCTAGCCGACTAGCGAGGTACCCAGGAAGGTATGCAGGTAGGTAGCCAGGTAAGCCGTAGCTGGCTAGGTGCATGTAAACAAGTCCAAATGTATGCATACACACGTATGTATGCATCTGCATGTGTGTGTGTGTATATACAAGCATAAATACATACATACATACATACATACGTACATACATACATACATACATACATACATATACATATACATATGTTAGGAACTTTGTGTGTATATATGTGTATATATCTATATAAAAAGTACATACATATATTTGTGCATGCGTATACCTAAATCAGTCCCACCTTCTGGGCTCCGCTCATCCACGGAGTGGAAGCCGTTCTGGTGCAGGAAACTCGCAGCTGCGAAGGCAGCTGGATCCTGAAGATCGGATTCGAATCCCGGGATCATATCATCGATCGGGTTGATGGGGAGATTTCGGTACTGGGCCCGCTGTAGGTTCAGCATGAGGCGGTAGTCGTGCCAGTTGCCGCGCACCAGGTGGAAATGAAGCTTCTTTCTTACCATGCCTTGAACCACCGATGCCAGCTGACGCCTGTCCTCTTCGACAGTGAACGCGCCCTCTCCTACTGGTTCAAAAACCCAGCTGAAAACTGGGGCGACAGCCACCTGATGCCCACTTTGTATTTCGATGACCCTCGTATCGTCTGTGTTGCTGAGCCGTCGTGCGGCTCTTTCAAGTCCTTGGTAGATCATAGGAATTTTAATTTAAAAAGCGCTATGTATGTAGATAGATACATACATACATACGTACATACATACATACATACATGCATGCATGCATGCATGCATACAATATGCACTTTAAATTATCACAACGGGGAAAGCACATGACTTACTCTTTTCCCTGCTACGGCAACTTCAGTTACAGGCTTTACCCCTACACTGCCAAAGGCAACACTGCCCAAGCATCTACTTTTTTGGGTAATGTAGGGGCCTTAATAGTAAGAATAGCGTTTGGGGGTATATTATACTATAACTATAATAAGGACCCCCCCAAAAAAAAATTGGTATTATTCAGGCCAATTTAGGGCCCTATGTTAACTTGAACTGCCGAACATGATCCCAGAGTCTGCACCATCCCCGATCTGTCCACGACTTTCGAGTGAGAGGCTTCCCCGACGCCGAATGCCAAATAGGGGGGCAAAGAGCCACGAAAAACCGGCAGCGTTCGACGTAGGCAGGGATGGAGCCAATGGCCAGTGCCCGATGGCTGTCGGACCACTGTGGACAAGAGAAGAAGTCGTACCAAAGGAATAGAGGCTGAATCAAGAGCTCCTCGGAGGAAATCACGCTTTGCTGCCCAGAATAGAGCTCGAAGGCAGTACCTGAGATCATCTTGGTACCTGCCATCACGTTCCTCAAGGACACCTGAAGCTCCTCCACCGAGGAATTGAATCTTGCGAAGGATGCTTTAATTCGGGGGCCTTAATCATTGAATAGGGTCTCCGGGTATATCGTACCATAAACCGTGATTATTATAGTAAGGAATCCGAAGGTCTTCAAGCTTCTACGTAGGGGTCGGGGCAGTCACACCTACTCACAGTGAGCCACCAAACCTTAAAACAGGAGCACCTTGAACCATGCCATCCTCTGTCTATGCAAACCTTGACCCTAAACCTCTGGACCCTGCAAGCGCTACAAGTCCTATACGTCCAATATGAACCCCAAAAAAAAGCCCCAACTGCACCCTACAACACCCTCAAAAAACCCCCATCCCAGCTAGCCCTGGCCCGAAGCTACTCGGGAGTCCTTGAACTGGGCCATCCCAGGGTCGGGATGGTGCTCACCAGCCCACTGATGCGAAACAAACATGGCATGCCCCCGGTCGTCTTCAAACTCCAGGAGCATCCCCTCTTTCAGAAGCGCCTCGTGGCTAGTTAGGGGGGCCCAAACAGGAGGAGCATTCTGATTATTTTGAAGGACTATTGTGGTGGGTTCTATGCTTTTTAACTCAACACGCCGCAAATTTCAGCGAAGGAGACACGATTTATCAGGTCGAGACGAGGCTGCCACGACAACCGCCGCCGCTGCTACCTAATGATGGTTGATGATGACGAGATTTGTTCTTGTCAAATTTCACAGCCTTCCTAATTTTAACCCTGAACCCCAAACCGATGCCCTGAATCCTGAAAATCCTAAAGCCTAGGCCCCTTTCATCTTTAGCGCCTCGTGCGGCATCAGCTCCTGCATGAGCAATGCGGTCTCCACGGACACCACATACATAGGGAACTGCCTCGGAGGATCTGGGTTAAGAAAAGGGCCTCAACAATTACCAATACTATTTTTTTTTGGGGGGGGTTCCCTCTTATAACTATACTATAATATATACCCCACAGCCTTATTCAAATTACTACTTTGGGGCGGTTCCTTATTATTACTATCTTTTTGTATATACCCCACAACCCTATTCAAATTACTAAGGCCCCTATGTCCGCGTGTCGGGTGTGAGGAGGAGACCCAAAGCCATAACCCTAAACCCTAAACCCTGAACCCTAAACCCTAAACCCACAACCCATAACCCATAACCCTAAACCCTAAACCCGAAACAATAGAATTCAGTAAAGGCACAGGACACGCCAATGGTGAGACTAGAAGCCCACAACCCCGAAATCACTTGATCCAATCATGACAGCAAGCAGACGATGTAAGGCTACAGGATGTGCAGTAGTAGTACCCGGCGAAAACATGGCTGCATGGAAAACTACGAATCTTTGGTATTTAACGCACTTGAAGGAAACAGCACATCAACAAAATCAACGCCAGGCTCAGCACAAGCTTTTACCGTGAAGGGAAGAAGTTGTTTGACTTGAGATCATGAAACCCGCTTCTGAGCCTTTATTTCGGGAGATTGAAACAAGAAGCCCCTAAACCCCTTAAAATCCATAACGAGGTGCTCCTCAGCAAAGTCCTCCACATCCTGAAGGCTCGCATCATAGCTCCTTAAAAGGTCTGGCGCCCTTGCGACGCAGCAGGCGTTGAGCATGCCCGGCCAACTGTAAGCCACCACAAAAGCAACACAGCCTCTACGAGAAGCTGAAACATACAGGGCTGACTTGGACCCTACGAACCTCTACATGTTCAGGGTTCCTTATTATGACTTCCGGAACTATACAAATTCCTAAAAGCATAGGTTCTTTGAGGTTTAAGGTACGGCTCACAGACACAAGGCCCGGGCTAAGCTGCACCGGTGCTAGCAAGAAAGCAAGCTAGAGCTCAAAAGGGAAGGCTCCCTGCTGAGACCTGTAGCGATTTTTCAAGGGGTTTTGGTCCAGGGACTCGGGGCTTCAAGCACTGAAGGCTTTAGGGTTTAGGGCTTAGGGTTACTATGGTGGTTTAAAGTTGGTTTAGTGCTTAGGGTTACTATGGTGGTTGAAAGTTTAGTCTTAAGTTCAGAGATTCAGGGCCTAGAGTAGGGAGGACGTAGGGCTTCACGGTCCTTGTTGGAGTCAGGATTTGGGCTCTTCCAGGGAACTTCGCCACAGGTCTTGGACAACCTTCCCTGAGCTACCAAAAGAACTCGCTTGAACCGAACTTGCAGCTGGAAGCGTCTACGTGGAAAATAGCGTGCTTGGGTATTTAGGGCCGATCGAGGGTTTAAGCTCGCTTCAGAAGCCGGTGCTACAACAAGCGCAACTTGAAAAACTTGAAAGCAATGACAAGTTCGACTTCGATCGGGTGCATCCATGCTGGCCATAGTTTTCATGATGACCCCTGTCTTCACCCCTGGAGCTCTCCTTCGGGGCACGATCCGGATTCGGCAGCCACTGACACGGACACGAAGTACTCACGCACCGATCTGAGATCTGCTGCTCATCCGAGGGGATCTTCACACACGTTGGCAGCGAGACTTGGCACTGCTTTCCCCACAGAAGCCCTTTCATGCGCCTATCGGTAACACATCTTGTCCGTCCGCTCGTATGACAAGTGAAACATCAACATTAATTAACGACGCAAAACTGCAACATCTGGCCTGCAGCAACCGAGCAAGGTCGGACAAACAACTCAAACCATGCCAAACTGCCGTTACTGCGCAAACTTGGTAGCCCGGCAGCGCAAAACAACACACCCTCAAGTCAGTAGTCAAAACCTCAACCCTAAACTCTAAAGCGTGTAGTCGCTGCTTCTATAAATCCGAATCATTCCTCACGTCTCTTACAGGGCAAGCACAATGAACATATGCCCGAAAAAAGGATAGGCTTTCTGAGGGTTACCTTCACAGCAAAATGGACCCCAACACCCTGCTCTATCAACCAAGGCCCCTAAATCAAGTCGCTCTTCTTTACCGAAGTCCAGTGAGGTCCGGTCGGGCCTTGAACATCACCTGGGCACCCGTCTGAAGCCCTTGCGGAACCTGACTCCTGGCAGGCGGGTTTAGGGTTGGGGTTTAGGACTTAGGGTTTAGGGCCGAAAACCCTAAACCCGAAAACCCTAAACCCTAAACCCTGTAGGGTTGAAACTAGTGGGCCTTTGGTGGCGAGGTGGTTTTTGAGGATGCGCTGGCTGATATTTAACTAACATGGAACCTGCAAGAGAGATTCAACCATTCTCGCGTTGCGACACGAGGGCATGTCTTGTCCGGTTTCAAGCTCAGAAACTGCTTGATACTGTTGATGATATAAATCCTGCATTACCCATAATAAGGAATATGCCATGATTCCAATAGTTTAGGGTCCGTAAGGTAATGCAGGATTTATATCATCAACAGCATTGACAAACAATTAGCGGCGAGCAGCCGCACGTTGCTCAAAACCATCCGCGTCTCAATTGTCAAGTATCCTATGCCCGCGCCTCATGAAGAAGACGTCCTTACCAAAGATGTTCATCGCGGCATCGCAGCCAAGGAATCCGAATCCCTGGCTGTCTGTGCTCTACAGAGGTGCAGAAAAAGACCCGCCCGAGGGTTGCTCTAGATCAGCCTCCCATGTTGCAACGGTGTGGGAGTAATCTTGGGAATCGGCACCTTAACGGCAGGGAAAAAAACCTCCACGGGTAATCATGCGGGGGTATTGATTGGGGCAGAAGTTGACAAAGCTCCAAAGACGTTTAACTAAGCATTCAAGTAAAAAGATCCTCTGATAGCGGGCATTTGGAATCCTGCTGGAGTTTTGGGTTTCAGCTTATGCAACTTGCCATCTTCGAAAGCCAGGAGTCTCCATCTTCAAGGTAAGGATACTGTGTTACTTAGAGGAAACTACAGGTGGGGAGCTTAGGGTATATGGGGTTTCCATAAAGCTTCTATAAGGTATATAAACCTTCTATAAGGCTCCTATAACGGTAACTACCCACCTGAAAATGTCTCAGAGTTCGGTTCACAACCCTGATGTCTAAACTTGGCCCCAAAGCCTAAAGACTAGGGTTTAGGGTTTAGGGTTTAGGGTTTTCATGTACAGTCTAGCAGTTCATCGAGCTCCAGCTAAGGCTATGCGATCTACCGGCCTTTGTGGGGGGGAGCTGCATAATTAGAAACATCATCCCCGCAGAGTCCCAATAGGCCTGTTAGAACAAACTCCCAAGACCAAGCCTGCATTAAGCTCAATCGCCTTCCCAAACCTTCCCTGCCCACCCACACCCACACACACACACACGCGCGCGCGCACACACGCACACGTTCCCCACCACATGAAGATCTCGCCTCATGTCGCGTGAAGGTCTGACCAAAACCCCTGCCCAACTGCTAGAAGCCATCGGCCCACGGCCTTGTTCTCGTTGTAGGACTTCACGACACCGAAGAAGCTGTAAGTGCCATCCTCTGTAGGTTGCGTAAGCAGGAGCTAATATAGGGGCCTTAGCAGTTCAAGCTCTCGGGGCTTTCGGGCTTGGCCAAGCCAGAAAAGTGAAATTGGAAAGCAACGACATCGAAATGCAAGTCACGAGACCAAAAATGAACGGAGCACGCCAGAACACTCACTGCACGGTGGCGGAAACACGAGTCCCACCCCAAATTCTGCAGGATCGCTGGGGGAGCTTCTTGTCTTTTTTCTTTTGGGTTTTAGGAACAGGTGGTTCAAACTGCCAGAAGACGGTCGAATGCTAAGATCCTGACGCCTCCACCCACCCACCCACCCAACGAGCCACGCAGACACGTGCACGCAACTAACGCCCCGAACAGAACCGCAAGACTGCCACTGATTTTCTACTCCCTTCAGCCTGTCAACCTGGGACCAAACTCGTGCCTTCGTACGGTTGTCGGCATGCAACCCCAAAACCAAGGCCTATCAGCTTCCGAGGCCCCGAGACTGTGTCAACTCCTCTTTTGATGTTCCCGAAACCTTAAACCTTAACCTTAAGCCTTAAACACCCCACTTCCCCGAAAGCTTCAGGAGTCCCGTGCCTGTGATGAGATAACCTTCACGCCCGCCGCTTGCAGGCCCTTTGGTGTCTCTCGGACCGTAAACGACACCTCCGGCCAGGCTTGGGCTTAGGAGGCACAGCTTTTAAACCACGAGTAACCGTAGAGAAGCAGAATCCAAAACCCAAGCCTTCATCCCCATACCTCTAAACCATAAGCCCTGATCCATGTCTTCGAAATTATTTACACTGAACTCGGGGCCTGCGAAGCAAAATCTGACTTCATGGCCACAGAACCCCAAGCACAGGCCCCAATCCCTGAACCCTAAACTCTGGAAGCCTCAAGCCCGACACCCTAAGCCCTAAACCCTAAGCCCTTGAAGAAAACTAAAAGCCCAAACTCTCAACCCTCAAACGCCAAAACCAAGAGCCCCAAACCCGGAATCTCAAAACCCAAAGAACCTTATTGTGATGACTAGTCTTATTAGTATTGTTATTGGCTCCAACGTCGCGTAAACGCGCAAAACCGACATGC